GTTATTTATGGTAGCATATATTATTTTAAAATGAGTTACTAAGTATTTTTTAAATTTCTGTTTTAATTTCCAATATGTTAAATATCAACAGATATAACCAGTAGTGTGCACAGCTGGCTTGTACCAGTGAAAGCCAATTGTATAATCTTTATCCGGCTTTGTGTTCAATGTCATCCATTGGCAGATTGAAATCAGCCATAGTAGGAGTATTTACATCACAGAAATGAGCAAACACCACAAGTCAGTGTTCCTCCTTCTTAAGATCTAGTTATTAAGTGTTTACCAGCCCTCTACTGAATATGAATCACAGAAACAAAAGCTCTTTGATGTCATCAGTAATTTTTAAGAGTGTAAAGATGCCCTGAGACTAAAATATTTGAGAATTAGTTGTGAGGAGAAAGAGTTATCTTTTGGGAGTTAGTCACCATAGAGGTGGTTGCCTTTTTATAATTCATACAGAGTTGCCTTTTGTGCTGGAAACATTTGTAGAATAAATCCCATGTTTTAAAACTTGTAGTTGTTAAATCTACTGGTTCCATAATGGGATGATGTTTTTCTTTTCCCTGGAATCTAAACTGGACGATAATACTCTGGGGGTAAGTGAGCTGAATTTTCCCTGTAGGCTACGTATTGGTTGCCTGTGTCCTGGTTTCTCACTATCTGTCCAACTGTTATCTAGGTTTAGATCAAGCCTTCACTCACGCTCTGGCACCTACACAAAGCCCTCACTTACTGTTTGGGCCCATACTGATCTTTCTATTCTGTACTCCTATGATATTCAAGGCCTCTAAAGTGGAGCAATGAGTTCTATACTATTTGGCGTGCCATTGTTTCTTAGGTGCTAGTTTTATTCTACTTTCTACTAGTGCACCTAGTACAATGCTCAACACCTAGGTTCTCTTGACGGATAAAACATGTTTTAACTTTTGGATTGCCAGAGAAGTTTGTTTTCCAAGGGAATGATATTGTAAATAAATCTTAGTTATTTGTTATAACCACAGTTTTTACTAATTATTTTCAGGTATTAATATAAGTTGGAAATCATTGGTGTTCCTCAAAGTGAAGTCACACACAAAATCTTCCTTGAAAAATTGTTTTAGATCCTGTGGTTCTACTAACCGCACATGATAGACACTGGTGACTTATTTCCAAAGTCTTTGACTCTTGAGTAAGTCATAATGAATAGTGAATCTTAGTAAAATGAGTCAAAGTTTCTGAAATTATGCTGGCCTATAGGACAGAGTTGTTTACTAATTAGAAAACCTGGCAGGTTTTGAGTCTAGAGGAGTGGTAGTATCGTGCTTTCTGGTAGGGATCTCTTTTAAAGGAACTCAGGGAAGTAGTGAGGAGATGGCTGTTGTACCGATCTCTACCCAAGGCTAAGTGATAGTTCTGGCCTCTCTGGATGCTTGAGCTAGGGAGACGGAAAGTGTCCAGAGGCCTCACCAGCCTTGAAGGCATGAGCTTTCTCTGGGTCAGAGACACCAGGGGCTTGAAAGGTCCTGGAATTTCTTCAGCCTATGCCTTTTTAGTGGTTATAAGGGCATAACAGTGACTGTGATTTTTATCAGTCTAGAAACAAAGCATCAGCTTACATCTAGAGTAACACTAGAATATCGTATGTCACACATTTAATAAAAATAATGCACTGGCCAGGCGCGGTGGCTCATGCCTGTAATTCCAGCACTTTGGGAGACCAAGGCAGGCAGATAACAAGGTCAGGAGATCGAGACCATCCTGGCTAACACAGTGAAGCCCTGTCTCTACTAAAAATAAAAAAATCAGCCCAGCATGGTGGTGGGCGCCTGTAGTCCCAGCTACTCAGGAGGCTGAGGCAGGATAATGGCTTGAACCTGGGAGGTGGAGCTTGCAGGGAACCAAGATCATGCCACTGCACTCCAGCCTGGGCAGCAGAGCGAGACTCCGTCTCAAAAAAAAAACCAAAAAAACCACAAAACCATATTTAAGTTCTATCTCCAATTTCTCTGAAGAAGTTAGAGAGGATAGTTTATATGCTGGCCTAAGAAAGGCTTCACTGTTAGTAGTCGTGAGGTCGTAGTGAGGTAGTTTAACTGCTTTAGAACTTCGTGCTTGGAACATTCTTAGCCACCGAAGTATGGGCACCAAAAGTGATAAGGAGCATGTGTTCCTTAATATCTGTCACATCAGAAAATGACTGTTCCAGGACAGTAACCACCTCCCGATGGTAAGTATCCTAGCTGGTTTGTCATTTCTCAGGAGCAGGATAAAGAGAAGTAGGGCAGCCGTATTAGTGAGTGGTATTGGTTAAAAATAAGCAAAAACAATAACAAAAAAGATCCAACTTTAATCCTCAATGGTGATCGTTTTGGCGGGTTTCTGTAGCTGGATCAGGCACCGGAAGAGGCTCCCCAGCTGTAATTCTAGTGCAGTTACCTTCGGGCCAAACTATACATGTCCAGGGAGTAATTCAGACACCACAGCCATCGGTTATTCAGTCACCACAAATACACACTGTTCAGCTTAACTTCCTTCCCGGATGGTTTCTCTTTTACTTTCTTGAGCCATTTTTTTCCTCTTTCACTAATTCATTTATCATTTTTCTTTATGAAGCTTTTATGTACAAATCTTTTTATTAGATATTTGGAGGAATCTCTTTTCCTTGCATAAGGTACTCTGTGTCCTGCTAAGTATGTAGGTTTCACTTCAGAGCTGCAGCTTTGTTGTCAGCTCTTCATTTGGGGACTGAGTAATTGCAGATGAGCAGTTCATGTGTTCTTCATATTGTTTTTCTATGTTCAAACTCAGATTTATTTAGTGGTGCTCCCCAAGGGTGCTGAAAAATATTTTGAGGGTTCTTCAGAGAAGATGTCTGATAAACACAGTAATATAAAGATTATAGTACTGATGCTGTTTTCGTGAATAATCACCTTAGTAGGTAGATACAAATTTATTTAAAATTCAGTATACATAATTCTTAGTAAGATGATTTTATTGATGTATCCCTCTCAGATTAAACCTTGGCTTTTGTAGATATAATTATTATTGTGGTTGTGATCCAGAGATGTATTTTACCCTTAACATTTCTTGAAGGTAAAACATTTTTTTCCATCAATAGATGTAAATTATTAAGTATGCATTTTTTTAAAGTATGCATCTTAATTACTGAATTTATTTTTGTTCCTTTTTAAGGTCAGTTATTATCCTTTAAATGCTGAAATTATCTGAACCTAATTGATGACAAAAAAAAAATCTGTGAGGAAAAGGGAGACACATATACATAGTGTAGTCCTTTTCCTGCGTGTTCAAGTAGTTTATCACAGGAGAACGATGAGAGTGGCAACAAGATACCTGACGTGACAAATTCACATATGTTAAAAGCTTGATTATCTTTGTGGCATGAGTATCTTCTCCTGTATTGCCCAAAAGTGTAAGAATAATTCTCATCATTATCTTTTTTTCCTGTGATGGCCCCTGATTTCAAGAGTTTCTAACTCTTTCTGACACTAATTATAAAACAAGAAAGTCTTTCCTACCTCTTCTTTGTTTTATGCCTTTTATTGGGGTCCACATATTTCTACTGAGTTTTAACCTGGCTGGTATTGGAAGAAAGTATTGTCTATTATTTTTATTATTTAATAGAGACAGAATTCTCGGTATGTTACCCAGGTTGGTGTTGAGCCCCTGGCCTCAAGTGATCCTCTTGCCTCAGTCTTCCAAAGTGCTGGATTACAGGTGTGAGCCAGAGCACCCAGCTGAAAGAAAGTATTCTCTTATATTCAGTAGGCTTTGTTTGGATTTTGTTAAGTGAATGATTTAATTGTCCTTGTAGAAAGAGGTGCCAGTGGATCTTGTCCTAGAATACTTAATCCCTCTGCATGAACTTTAATTTTCATCTTTTCTAAAATAGATAAATTAATAGCCTACCTCACCTAAGGGAGTTATGATTCTATGACAGATGTGTGAGAGCCCGGTGTAAGGTGATAAATACTTAATATTTGGTGGTGATATATGATTATCTGAGGCAACAACATTTTTTTCAGTAAGTTCTGTTGATTGAGTGTGTGTGCTTATGTGTGGGGCGTTCATGAGCAAAGATGCAGAGTCATATGTGAAGGTGAATATACACCTCCGTGTACTTTGGGAAGTGTATATTCTTGCTTGCATTGTTGATATTTTGATAAGCTCTTTTGATTTTATCCAAATCAGTTTCCCATGTACTTACAATATGAAGTGAGTTTTGTAAACTCTGCTACCCTAGGCCCTCAAAGTATTAATAATTGACTGAATATATCAAAAGCGGTCATGCTGTTGAAGAGATTCATTGTTTTAGTTTTCTGACTTCTTTAATAATCATATCACTGTATTATTACTTGACTTGAAAAATGAAATCATGCTTAAAACTCTGATCTTTCTCTTAAGGAGAAATTCTTTATTTGGATCTTCAAGACCTACCATCACCAAACCCTAACTTACTCCTTGTAATAGAAATCCTAATTTTACCCAGGCTTGCTTACTGACTTGCTTATCTACTTAAATATTCTGTCTTGGGCCTATCTGATGGCTAATGTGAAGACCCAGCTCACGCCAGTGCCAGCTGTGTGAGAGTGGAGACTGCAGTGTGATCCAGGAGCTCTCTTCTGCCTTGGCCCCTGCTGGCTCCCTCCTGGATCCGTAGGAGCACTTTCAGGTTGAGAGCTTAGGTCTTGGGTATTTTACATTTTGTTCTTTGCTGCAATGCCTTATTTGACATCCCAACTACTCTTTCCCTTGTATTTCTGTAGTATATAGTACCCGTATCATTCCTTTCCACACACGTTTGTTTTATAACTGAAATGTTTGTGTCTGCGCTTCCTTTCTTGAGCCAGACTCCTTTAGTGCAGATTCACCGTGTTGTATTGCTTGGTTGCTTCCACAGTGCCTGGCTCAGTGCTGCACACGCAGACTCTTAGCCTCAATTTTTTGAATGAAGGAAAAGAACATATATTTTATGATACATTTCAGAAAATCTTGTATTATAGGTAGCAACAATTGCAGAGACAGATGAATCTGCAGAATCAGAAGGTGTAATTGATTCTCATAAACGTAGAGAAATCCTTTCACGAAGACCCTCTTATAGGTAAGTTAACCAAGTTTCCTACTGTAAAGATACTTTTTCCAAAATGGTAGAAAAATTATTCATCAAATCAATTCTTCCTTTATAGCTTTTCTGTTTTAAGAGTCATTCATGTATCTTAGTGACTTACATTGTTAAATTATATTTTAGGAAAATACTGAATGAACTGTCCTCTGATGTGCCTGGTGTTCCCAAGATTGAAGAAGAAAAATCAGAGGAAGAAGGAACACCGCCTAACATTGCTACCATGGCAGTACCAACTAGCATATATCAGACTAGCACGGGGCAATACAGTATGTATGCTGCAATTCGATATGATACAGTGCTAGCTTTAAGTCTTCTCTAGTTATATTGAAGCAACTCAGGTTTTGGCATTAAATTGTTCCATTTTTAAGTGCATCAATACCTAAACTGTATCATTGAATGAAAGTATATGTTAAAAAGTGAGATATTTGTATTGACAGCTATCATATAATTTTGAAAAGTAAAAATTTTAACTGCTGAATATAGAAGAAAAATTTGGAGTAAAAATAAAGGGAGGATTTTTTCCTACTTACATGTTTATATTAATCTCTAGTAAAGTGTTGTTTTTGTTGTCTTTATGATGCATGCAAACATAAATGTCTGTATTTCATTCTTGTTGGCTTCTGTTACCCACAATTACATACTATACTTACTAATCTAAGAGTTTTCTAAAGTATGTTTTCAGTGTTTCACTACTCTCTGTTAATTCGTGCTACAGTTTTTCCTAAAAGAGAATGGAAAAATGATTTAAGTTTTTAAACTGTAGCAATTGGATAGATAATTTTATTTGAAATTTTACACACCAAAAGTTCTAAATAAACAGATACATTCACATTCAGTCTTGTGCATTTTAATGGACTGTTAATTCTGTGCTTTTAGCTCTGATTAAAGCACTGGTTTTTTCCCAAATGAAAAATGTTTGATACATAAAAATAGTAAAAACCAAGAGCTAGAAAGAAAAGAAAAAGAAAGAGAAAGGATAGGAATATCACATATCCTAAGCTAGCCACTTAGGTACTGGAATAATGTGATATTCCTGTCCTTTCTGCAGTATAAATTGTCCATGGAAATTGTCCAAATCAGTTTCCCATGTAATTATAATATGAAGTAAAGTGAGTTTTGTAAACTCTGCTACCTTAGGCCTTCAAAGTAATTCACTGAATATATTGACAGCAGTCATATTGTTGAAGAGATTCATGATTTTAGTTTTCTGACTTTAAAAAGAGCTACTTAGGTACTGGAATATATGTGATATTAAATAATGTGTTTATCCAATTAAGGTATGGAGATTTTAGATATATTTGTTTTTCCTTTAAAAAGTAGCAATACCAAGGAAAAAAAATCTCAAGTCTTAATTTAAGTCCTGGCTACTAAAACAAGCTATAATTTTTAATATATGAGAAGACTTTATATAGTCATTTTTTTTTGGAGCTTTTTAGAGTTTTTCTTATAGCATTGGTAGATTTGCAGTAGTAAACTATTAAATACATTCTCTGTTGGTAATTGAGGGGAACTCCTACCATGATACCTAGTAGATCCGGGTTGTAGTATATTCACACCTTCTACAGGGCACCCAGTAGACTTGTCCAAAGTCAGTGTTGGGAAAAGAAAACTCCCCATCATCTGTAAGAAATAGACCTTGAGGTTTACATTGTCACTTTTTTATTACTTCTTTCGTTTACATGCTCTTTTGTCTGGCACACTGGGAATCTCTGGTGGGTTTTAGAACTGTAAAAGTGAGTATGCTAATGTGCAAGGCCTGCTGGTGAGCCTCTGCAGCACAGCACGCAGGTTATGAGAGTGCTGAGTGCCTCGTCCCTCCGTCCCCAGAGGGGCTGGGCAGAAGCTGCTGGCACCTCCTGGCTGGTCAGCCCTGGCCATGAGCAGCTCCATCTGCTCACCCCAGTGGGCTGTACACATATCATCATGTTCTGTTTGTGTCATGACAGGGAAAAGGTTGGAAGTGACTGCTGAAATGACACTAAGACTTCTCAAAGTGTTGGGGACCACTAAGATGCTGTCATCGTAACATTTCTCTGGCATGTCCTAATGCTGCTTAGGACTTCTGATAGAAACAGTGATTCCTTTACAGGTTGATAGGGAAACAGATGCTGTAGGGTTAACTTGTCTAGATTATTAGCTGAAAATTTGAAATTATGAAAATGTTTGGGGTTAAAGCTGGAGAGGATGTGGGGAAGGAACCATCTTTGTGCCATTTGCAAACTCAATGATCAGAGCAAGAAGCTTTATTAAATTCACATCTCAGGTTTTAGTCTTTGAAGTGGGAATAATACTAAATTGCCAAACTCTGGGGTTCGTGTGAAGGCAAAGGAGATAAAGGGTAAAAGTAGGGGGAAAAAGGCATGCTACTATTGGCATGAAACAGAGAAATTAAGTTAGGTGTACCATTGTCTCAATCATGTTCATTGAACTTTCCCTCCAACTAGCCTCAATGGCTTCATTCCCTGTGTCCTTGGTGCCTGCTCACAGCAGGGGGCTGGCATTAGACCTTACTCTGTGTGTCTGTAGGTGGATGAGAGGAGCAGAGTCAGGAATTCTGATTGAGAACTAGAAAACTGCATCTTTAGAAATTAGATCTTAGGCCAGGTATGATGGCTCCCACCTCTAATCCCAGCACTTTGGGAGGTCTAGACATGAGGGTTGCTTGAGGCCAGGACTTTGAGACCAGTCTGGGCAATAGAGTGAGACCCTGTCTCTACAAAAGCATTTTAAAAATTAGCAGGGCGTGGTGGTATGCGCTCATCCCAGCTACTCAGGAGGCTGAGGTGGGAGGATTGCCTGAGACCAGGAGTTTGAGGCTGCAGTGAGTTATGATTGCACCACTGCACTGTCCAGCCTGGGCAGTGGAGTGAGACTCTGTCTCAAAACAACAAACAAACAAAAAAGCACATCTGTGTATTTGCCACATAAGAAGTCATGGACTATTTCTTACTTTGATTTCTTAATTTGAGCCTATACAGTATGATCCTAGAAATTATTTTGATAAGGATTTATAGTTCTGTGTGTATAGTCTGCAGGTAAAAATTGCCATTTATTGGTTCACACAATGTGAATTTCCTTTGTTAAAAATGCATTTTGGGGACATTTAGTGACGTTTATGTAGATAATTCTTTGATAAGTGAATACTAACAACATTCAAACTTTTTAGAAGACATTTAATTGGAGGGTAAACATATACTTACATACACAACATCCATTTTTATTGATCTTATTTCTTATAGAACTAACTTAGCAGATATTAGTGCTTTAATGTTGTAGCAGAATGTCTAGAAATGGAAACAATTGCCAGTGTCCTTTGGTTTTTAGAATAGAGGAATTTATTTTACTAGAATTTCTGGAGCTTTTCCTATGTTTTTTCCCTCCCTTTCAGCTGTAAATGTTTTTTCCTTCCCTTTCACCTTCCCTTTTAATGCTGTTTCATAACCTTTTATTATAAAAAATTTTTTTAGGTTTAATTCTTCAGCTTTATCCATGGATGGCTTTCTCCCGAACTTTGCTTTTCTTTTTTTCCAAGATTAGTATTTTGTTAGTTATTTTTAATTTGAAATAATGAGTTAGCTGGTGTTTAAAAGAACTAAATGTGTATCAAAGTTGAAGAAATAAAGTATATTCAAGTTTTCCCATATACAAGCAGTTACGTTTTTAACAGTTGAAAGATACTTGGCAGAAGTTGGCCTTATTATATTGACTTACTATTATCACAAAAACTAAGAAGTGAAAGTTGGAATAGGCTACTCCCTGGGGAATAGGAAAACGAGCATAAAATAGACAGGGATCCATTATTACAACACCAAGTAAGTGAGCTCTACCTGCAGAATCCTCGCTGGAAGTACAGATCTTAGTGATAGGTGTGTTGCATAACAGTTGAGCGATGCTGGTCAAAGAAAGTCTTTTATCTCAGGAGCATATACCTGAGACATGGCAGGAGAAGAGAGAGCCTTAGAATGAACAAAGAATGTTACTTACTGCATAAGACAGTTAAGATATGCAGTAAATGAATGAATTTGTAAAAGCAACTGAGGAAATTAAAATGTTTGAAGCTTCCTAATTCATTAAATTTTCTCTTGAAACAAAGGTTACTTAAATCCCCCATCCTACTATACCCAGCTTCTTCCTGTACCAATTAAAGACTATCACCCAAGACTTCAATTTTTTTTCCCCGTAAATGACCCTTGTCTCTGTTTGTGCCTACTGTATTTTACTAGGAATCTTATTAGAGTCTCTATTAACTCCTTGTTCTGGAATTCTTATACACGAAAGGTAAGTGGGTCGATCCAAACTGCACCATTATGAAAAGAAAAATGTGAACTTTGTGGATTGCTTATAAGAATTCAGATTTCTCAGGACGCTCACAAATAAACACCAATTCAACTTCTTCATAAAGGGAATTGGAACATGATAGGCTTACACATTTGAAAGTTAATCCAGTTGCAGTTCTTAATAGTGACGTTTACATTTCTTTAGGGCAACTGTTTCAAAAATTTTTAAGGCACTACTTAATGTAACTCTGGCTTGTAAACTTTGGTGTTGCTATTCTTGTTAAAGCATGATTTAGTCTTCTTTCTGCTATATGCACCTCTTGGCTTTTAAGGTACAGGTACTCATAGGTACTCTCTTATGGTCACTCTTTGAATTTAAACCTGAGAATTCATTGGAACAAAGGTCTGTTTACTGCTCTTTTTAAAGTTAATGCAGTGAGATTTCATTTAGGAATCTTTGCATTGCAATTTGGAACAAGAGTGGTTTTAAATATAAACATTTACATGTTTATGTATTTTAATTAGCTCATGTGTGTAAGTTTAAGTTTAGAAGTATATAACATGGGCTGGGCGTGATGGTTCACGCCTGTAATCCCAGCACTTTGGGAGGCCAAGGCGGGCGGATCACCTGAGGTCAGGCGTTGGAGTCCAGCCTGACCAACATGGTGAAACCCTGTCTCTACTAAAAATACAAAATTAGCTGGGTGTGGTGGCGCACACTTGTAATCCCAGCTACTTGGTAGGCTGAGGCAGGAGAATCACTCAAACCCAGCAGGTGGAGGTAGCAGTGAGCCAAGATCACACCATTGTACTTCATCCTGGGTGAGAAGAGTGAAACTCCATCTCAAAATAAATGAATAAAATAAGTAAATAAATAAATAAATAAATAAATAAATAAGTATATAACATCACCAGGCTTAGTGGTTTGTGCCTGTAGTCCCAGCTACTCAGAAGGCCGAGGCAGAAGGATTGCTTGAGTCTAGGAGTTTAAGACCAGCCTGGGCAACATAGCAAGACCCCCATCTCTTAAATAAATAAATAAATAGCTAAAATAGAAGATGTGTCTAAATTCATTCAGTTAATTTCATCATTTTTCTCACTACCTTGATTTATGTTTATTGAAAGCACATGTTATGCTATCCTTGAATATTTTGAAACCTAAACAATTTTCTCCTCAAATCTCTGAATACAGACAGGCCCACATAAAACCTATTTCCAGGATCCTGAGGCATTGGGAAATCTTGTTTCTTGTCAGATGAGAGAGAACATTTTCAATGGGAAGGTCCTCTGTCATTTGATAACAACAAAATCAAGAGCACCTTTGGTATAAAAAATGAAAATGAGGCTAAACGTGCCGACTTAATCAGTAGAAATGTTTTCTCACTAGAGCCAGTGTGTGAGGGGTGTGTGTGTGTGTTTAGCTTTTGTTTTCCACATCTAATTATATAATGACCTCACCAGAAAATAAAATGACAAGCAGATTCTTGATGTTCATATTGTGAAAACAAAGTTTTTTGATCAAACTGTGGGGAAATATTAGTGAAAGAAAAAAGGAAATGAGTAAATCAAAAAGAAAGAAGAGAAAAAGGAAAGTAAAGATCTTTGTTATCTACCTGTTCAGGGGTTCTTACCCCTGAGGGAGCTACTCTCACCTCAGATTGACTTGATCTAAAAGCTTCATAATTACATTGGTATTGAAAAACTAGGTTCTATGATTAGAATTTGAAACCATACCTCATTTAACTCTCCTAGATTCACAGGTGGCTTAAGTTGTTTATAATACCATCTGTCATGAGGAAATGATAGCCATTCATTCATTCATTCATTCATTCTGTTTATTGAATGGCTGCTCTGTTCTAGGCTTTGTCCTTCTCTTTTTTTTTTTTTTTTTTTTTTTTTGAGACCGAGTTTCACTCTTGTCCAGGCTGGAGTGCAATGGCGCGATCTTGGCTTACCGCAACCCCCAGCCTCTTGAGTAGCTGGGTTTACAGGCATGCACCACCATGCCTGGCTAATTTCTTGTATTTTTAGTAGAGACAGGATTTCTCCATGTTGGTCAGGCTGGTCTTGAACTCCTAACCTCAGGTGATCCGCCCACCTTGGCCTCCCAAAGTGCTGGGATTACAGATGTGAGCCACCGTGCCCGGCCTAGGCTTTGTACTTCTAACACACCGTGGTTACCTGACCTTAGGCTGTTCTTTCTAAAGCACTATTTCTGTGACATCAAATTAATTATCAACTGAAAAATACACATTGAAATATATGACAACATACAAAATTGACTCATGTCTAGCCACAAAGGGCCAAGAAAGCAGTGTCTTTTGACATTTTCATACTTATAAGAAGTTAGATCTCCCTCAAACCCTTTTACTGTGAGGGCTGAATCCTGAAACCCATGAAATCTTTGGAAAGCCATGGTTTAAAAATATCCTGTTTTTAAAGTATGTACAGAAAATACTGCTCTAGATGAGCCAGATAAAGTGCTGTTACATCAGGGTATCTCAGCCTCAGCTCTGTTGACATTCTGTAACTGACTTTAGTTTCTGCCACACTGGCCTGTCAGTGAAGTAAAACACAGAGAACACAGCATGTGGAAATCTTTTTAAAAATGTTAATCTATCTTCCTGTGTAGACACTGGCACCCTAGGTGAAAGAAGTGAAAATTTGTTGTTGTTACTCTTTCCATAATTCTCATAGGTTTGTCCTATCTAAGGTTATTACCTAAGTGCTTTTTTGGCTACATGCTATTAAAAACGTTTGGAAATGACTTGAAAGTATTCAGAGTATATTTTAAACACTACTTTACGCTACTGTAAGGCATTTACATTGATGTATAGATGTTATGTTATTCTGGTGATGTGTTTTTAAAATCTTTGTTGTAAAGCCTAGTTAGGTAGTTTATATGTGATTTTTTTAAAAAGCATAGCCTCTGGTACCATTTAATACCTACTATTTAAAACATGCAGTTGGAATCTTTATGTTAAAATATACAGACCTTTCAGATATTTTAAATAATACTTGTCTATTAGAGTGAAATTTTGAAACAAAACATTTGATCAGTTATTCTTTGGAAGCTTCAAGTCAATTAATATGTCAACTTTTAAACGTGACTGGCAAATCTCAGTATTTAAAGGGAATCTACCTCATATTTGTTGCCATTAGCTGTAATTATTTGAGACACTTGGTAAAGATAAATATTGTAGCACAAATCCTTTTAGTAACAGTTACTTTTTAAGGACCTTTCCAACTTGACATTTTATATTTCAGGATTCTCCTGACATAGACAAAATGGCAAAGATTACACTTTTCTAGACTTGAGTTTTATAACCAAAATATTTTAATATAAATTTACATATAAATATATATATTTATAACATATATATGTTATATATGACACATATATGACATAATTACATTATATATAATTATATATTTTTATATAAATATATATAAAAATACTTTGGTTATATATATAACATATATATAATTGTATGTGTGTATTTCTATTTTTTTTCTTTTGTAACGGAGTTTCTGTTGCCCAGGCTGGAGTGCAGTGCCGCGATCTCAGCTCACTGCATCCTCCACCTCCCGGGTTCAAGTGATTCTCCTGTCTCAGCCTCCCGAGTAACTGGGACTACAGGCGCCTGCCACTACGCCTGGCTGATTTTTGTATCTTTACTAGAGATGGGGTTTCACCATATTGATCAGGCTGGTCTCAAACTCCTGACCTCAGGTGATCTGACCACCTTGGCCTCCCAAAGTGTTGAGATTACAGGCGTGAGCCACTGCACCTGGCCTATATATTTCTTAAAAACTACTTTCTTTTGATGACAAATTAGAAAAGTAGTTAGCTGAATGAAGGTACAAATTCATTTTAATTGTAATATTAAATGGGAATTTTTCTCTTTTCTCTCCTTTTATTAGAGACAGGGTCTCCCTATGTTGCCCAGCCTGGCCTCGAACTCCTGGGCTCAAGCAGCCCTCCTGCCTTGTCCTCCCAAAGTGCTGGGATCACAGGTGTGAGCCACCACACCTGGCCTTAAATGGGAATTTTAAATAGTAGAAGAATGGTGTTTGTAAGGGAAAACATCTGAAAGAATGGAGAAGACCAGGAAGCTGGACTCTCCCTGTCTGCTTCTCCACTCTTCCCCTTGAGTAATGTAGTTAGCTGGATGCTAAGGAGTAGGAACACTCCATGGGCTCTATGAATCTCAAACAGTTATTTTCAGGTGTTTATAAGCTTTTCCTAGGGTATTGTCCCATGACGAATTCAGCATAGAAAATAAGGGTAACCTGAGAAAGAAACAGTGGTAATAAATAGACCCAGAGTATATTCTTCCAGTAGGGGATTATTAAAAATAAATCTTGAAATTCTCTAATATTTCTTTTCTTTTTCTGTTAAGTTGCTATAGCCCAAGGTGGAACAATCCAGATTTCTAACCCAGGATCTGATGGTGTTCAGGGACTGCAGGCATTAACAATGACAAATTCAGGAGCTCCTCCACCAGGTGCTACAATTGTACAGTATGCAGCACAATCAGCTGATGGCACACAGCAGTTCTTTGTCCCAGGCAGCCAGGTTGTTGTTCAAGGTATATTTTATTAATCTAATACATTTAGAATACCTGTGGATTACTATATCACACCATTGAGTGGTGATTTTATAGTTTTCTGAAATATATCAAAGGTAGATGGGGGGGTTGGGACGCACTTAAAAACGCTTACAAAAGAAATATTTTAATACATTAAATAGCAAATTAAGTTTTATCATTTTTCACCTTTTAGCAGGTTTTACTGGCTCTGGAGAAAGGCCAAATTCAGAGTAGCATGACAGAAAAAGAGAGAGAGAAACATGAATGAATTTTTTGTTTTGTTTTGTTTTTGAGATGGACTCTCGCTCTGGTGCCCACGCTGGAGTGCAGTGGTGTGATCTCGGCTCACTGCAACCTCTGCCTCCTGGGTTCAAGCGATTCTTCTGCCTCAGCTTCCCAAGGGTCTGGGATTACAGACATGTGCCACCACGCCTGGCTAATTTTTGTATTTTTAGTAGAGACGGGGTTTCACCACGTTGGGCAGGCTGGTCTTGAACTCCTGACCTCAAGTGAAGGCCTCAGCCTCCTAAAGTGCTGGGATTACAGGCATGAGCCACCATGCCCAGCCACATGAATGAATTTTTAAATTAAGTAAATATCCTTCATTTGGGGGTTGCAAATGTTGTACCTAATAGATTTATATTACCTAATCTGTGACAATTTAAGTATTCAGGCTATGATGCCCCAAATTTGAGTTTTTCCCCAGCTGTTACTTTCAAGTCTAATTTTTAGGCAACTCATTTCAAAACAAATGCTGACTTTGGGTTTTTTTGTTTTTTGTTTGTTTTTTTGATGGTTCTTAGTATGTTTGAATTCTAAGGTATCCATTCTAGTTCTTATGGAAGCTGTCAGTAGTGAAATAAAAGTTGAGATGTAGCCCTAAGCTTTTAGGGTTACCTGAGATTTCAACTATTTCAACTGGATTTGCGATATACATTATTTTAATTTAATTCAGTTGTGCCTATGATAACTATAATAGATGTATTTAATATAGCTTTCAAAACTCCTGTGTTTTAATTGAATTCTGTTCCTTTTGGTCCATTTGCTTAGGATTCAGGATTTAGCACTAATTTTTTTTTTTAATTTATTTGTTTATTTTATTTATTTATTTGTTTTTGAGACGGAGTCTTGCTCTGTCGCCCAGGCTGGAGTGCAGCAGTGCGATCTCGGCTCACTGCAACCTCCGCCTTCCTGGGTTCACACCAATCTCCTGTCTCAGCCTCCCGAGTAGCTGGGACTATAGGCGCCTGCCACCACGCCCGGCTAATTTTTTTTGTATTTTTAGTAGAGACAGGGTTTCATTGTGTTAGCCAGGATGGCCTTGATCTCCTGTGCTTGTGATCCTCGTGATACAAAAAATTAGCTGAGCGTGATGGCAGGCGCCTGTAGTCCCAGCCACTTGGGAGGCTGAGGCAGGAGAATGGCGTGAACCCAGCAGGCGGAGCTTGCAGTGAGTAGAGATGGTGCCACTGCACTCCAGCCTGGGCGAGAGTGCGAGACTCCGTCTAAAAAAAAAAAAAAAATTACTTTTCTTCACAAGTCACAAAGATATTTTTCCACATTTTTTTCTATTTGCTTTATGGTTTTACCTTTCACATTTATGTCTTTAATGTATCTGGGCTTCACTTCTGTATATAGTATTTGGTGGGAATTCATTTTTAACTTATATGGAGCCATTCCCAAGGGTTTGTTGTTTCCTCATTGGTGAATGGGGAAGCCTTAATTAGACAGTAGGTTTGCTTGTGCACGTGGATCTGGCCCGTCTTCTGTCTGATTCGTCTTTTTCTGAATGCCAGTGCCATACGTGTTTGTTATCTCATAGAACAAGTTCCCCTTGTCTTTTTTCTCAGTTTGATGGAGGGTTAGCTTTTTGTGCACTATTATTCTTTCATATGCGTTTGGAATAAGTTTGAGTTTCTAAGTAGTAGTAATAATAATAATAAAACCAATGATGAGACTGCATTAATTTTGTTTTGTTTTTTGAGACAGAGTCTCGCTCTGTTGCTCAGGCTGGAGTGCAGTGGTGCAATCTCCGCTCACTGCAAGCTCTGCCTCCCGGGTTCATGCCGTTCTCCTGCCTCAGCCTCCTGAGTAGCTGGGACTCGAGGCACCCGCCACCACGCCCAACTAATTTTTTTTTATTTTTAGTAGAGAGGGATTTTACCGTGTTAGCCAGGATGGTCTGGATCTCCTGACCTCATGATCCGCCCGCCTCGGCCTCCCAAAGTGCTGGGATTACAGGCGTGAGCCACTGTGCCCGGCTGAGACTACATTTAATTTAGGGACAGCTGCATAATGTTAAATTGACCTATCCCAAACCATAGAATGTCTTGTTTATTCAGATCTCATTTTACTACTTTTTAACAGTTGAACATTTTTCTTCATGGAGGTCTTGCATATTCTTTCTTCAGTTGGTTCCTAAATGCTTTATGGGTTTTGTTGCCGTTACAATGGTACCTTATTTTTTATTGTATTTTCTCATTGTTGCTGGTGTAGAGAAATACAGATTATTTTAAGTCGATCTTTTATCTATTAACTTTGCTAAACTCTAATTCTAATAGTTTACTGATTCTTTGTGAATCGGTCTATGATCCTATGTGAATGTTTATACAAATAGTGATGTTTTATTTCCTTCCTTCCAATCTTTATTCCTCTTTTCTTTTTTTCTTTTCCTTAAATAATCATGGCCAGGAGCTGCAGTTTAAATGCAGCAAGGCCAGTGGGCATTCTTGTCTTCCTGAACTTAGTGGCAGTGTTGCCTGCCCGCCTTCTGCCTTCATCTCACTGAAGGGCTGTGTCAGCTGCTTTGTGGATTCTCAGTGCCTGTCTTGGCTGATGCCTCAGCAGTATTTAACACTGTCAACTTCTGCTTCCTCCACTTCCTGAGACTGTGTCCTCCTTGCTCTTCTCTCTCTGCTGCTTCTCCGTCAGTCTCGTTGCTGGGCGAAGCTTCCCTACCCCTGTCCTGAGTGTTTCAGTGATCTTCACGCTCGCTCCCCCACCCTCTTCCTGCTGAGCTCCCTCCCTGAAGGACTCCCTCCCACCCTGGCTTCAGTTCACTGTGACTATGTCCTGACTCCAGCTGGTTCCTTAGATGGCCCACACATACCTCTGATACAAATTCCTGAAACCCGCTGTTCCTATCTTCAGTGACCGACCACTACTATCCCACCTGGTGCTTGATGCCAGAAACCTGGGTGTTGTCCCTTATTCTCCCCAGTCTCCACTCAAAGTCACTGTGTAGATTCTTCTCCCTGGCTGAACCATACATGCTTCTGCCACTCCACGCCCCTCTGTCCTGGCCCTGGCCCTGGCCCTGGCCTGGGTGCTGTCCCTCTGACCCAGGCTACCCCTGTGGGCTGCAGTCTCCAGCAGCCACCAGAAGCTGGCTATTGTGGAATAGCTTTCTGATCCTCCTAATCATGCCAGAGGCAGCAGCTCCTTTCTTGGCTCAGTTTTTTGGGAATTGTTCCTGAAAATTCAGCTAGACTCTTCATTCCTCACAGTGATTCTGGGAGCCACTGATACTTCTTAAAAACCGCAGCTTCTTGCCCCCAACATCTCCATTACTGCATTGCACTGTGTTTCTTTTCTTTTCTTTTTTTTTCTTCTTCTTTTTTTTTTTTTTTTTTTTTTGAGACAGAGTCTCACTCTGTTGGCCAAACTGGAGTGCAGTGGTTGGAACTCAGTGGTGTGATCTCGGCTCACTGCAACCTCTGTCTCCTGGGCTCAAGCATTTCTCCTGCCTCGGCTTCCCAAGTAGCTGGGATTACAGGCATGTACCACCACGCCCAACTAATTTTTGTATTTTTAATAGAGATGGGGTTACACTATGTTGGCCAGGCTGGGTCTCGAACTCCTGACTTCAGGTAATCCCCCCATCTCGGCCTCCCAAAGTGCTACAATCACAGGCGTAAACCACCGGCACCTGGCATCTGGGGTCTTTTTAATAAGGGCATTAATCCTGTTCACAAGGGTGCCACCCTCATGACCTTATCACCTCTCAGAGGTCCCACCTCCAAATACTATTGCATTGAAAGTTAGGATTTCAACAGAGGAAACTGGGCAGGGATACAAACATTCAGTCTATAGCATCCTCTCGAAAGCATCCATAAATGTCTGTGACCTGTTTAGACAAAGCCCCAAATCTTTCATGTGGCCCGAATCTTTGCTTAATCAAAGCCTTGCTTTCTTTAATAGCTGCCTACCTCTCCATTTCTCCCTCTTGTGTAATACAGCTCTTTATTTCATTTCCTGGGATAGGCTCTCTCCCTCCAGGGCCGCCTTCACACATACTGATTGCCTGATAAGAATACTTTCCCTGATTGTATGCCCTACTTGTGTTTCACCTTAAATGATTCTTCCTCCAGGAAGCCTTGCCTATCCTCCACATCTGGCTTAGGCAGCCCCCTGTGAGTTCCTGCTGTACTTCCTTGGGCACACATCATGTTGTATTGTGGCTCTGTGTGTCTTGGTAGATGGTAAGTTCTATTTGGACAAATACCTAGCACAGACCTTGGCATGTGATAAATGTTCAGTAAGCATTTACCAAATGAAAGTGAAATATTCTTCCTCTGAAAATGTGATTTGTTCCATGTGTGATTTGTTCTATGTGAGATTAACTGGTCCAGGGAATATATTAAAACTTTACTAAGAGCAGTAATCAACTAAGCAACCCATTTCCCTTCTTTCTTTCCTTCCTTGACTTTTTTTTCCACACCAGTATTTATTGAGCATCTATGTGCCAAAGAAATGCTGACGTAAAAATCAATTTCTTACTGATTTTCTGAAATTTGAAATAAAATTTCCTAATAGCATTCTTGGACCCAAACCCTCAGGTGTGGCTGGGACAGCAAAGAGTCCCTGCTGGAGCCCCAGATTGGGGTTGATGTCTAGGTCTAGGTGACCATCCAGGCTTTCTTACTTAGCCAATATATCTTCAGCTGAATTGAAACCCTAGCCCCCTTGTCAGGTATCCTGGAGAATTACTAGAAACATGG